ATTCAAAATGGCCAAAACCAGTCCATTTCAGCTCACTAATGCCTAGGATATCAATCTTTATGTGCTCCATTTCCTTTTTGACAACTTCCAATTTTCCTTGATTCATATTTTATACATTCCATGTTCTGATTATTAATGCATGTTTGCTGCTGTTTCTCAATTTGAGTGGTGCCACGTCTTCAAATGGAGGTCTCAAAAGCTTTACCTTATCCATATGAGTAAAGCTGATTTTACTCTGATAATGCAGCTTTTTCCCGGTCCTACTTGGAGAACTTTCTAAGCTAAGTGACTCATCTTCCTCCTCTATATTGGACAATGTTTCCGGACTATTCATAAAGTTGCACAGTAATGTATCAGGCAGTGTTTCTCTGCTATTCATAATGTTTTCCCTGGCCAATTCTTTGAGAAGTGGATGGCCTCCTCCTTCTTCCTAGTTTGTCTCAGTCTGCAAGCCAGGCTGATACCTGTGCACCATGTACACCCCACTGGGTTTGAAACACCAGTAGCACAGCCTCAAGACTCACAGCAACACGTCACCACAGTAGGACAAACCGACAGACAAGTTTGTCTCCCTTAGCTGTTGGACCCCTCCAACCACCCTTACCTGGATCCCTGCAGCTGTACTTCAGGATAGAGCTTAAAATTGTGACAATGAATATGACACCATTCCTCTTCAATTTGTCATTCCCATCCTAGTAGATCAATGACTGTCTGATTCAAAAATGGCCAATACTAATCCACTTCAGCTCACTAATGCCTAGGATATCAATCTTTATGTGTTCCATTTCATATTTGATGACTTCTAATTTTCCTATATTCATACTGCATACATTTAATGTTGTAATTATTAATAGATGTTTGTAGTTGTTTCTTCTCATCTTGAGTCATGCCATATCAGCAAATAAAGGTGTCAAAAGCTTTACTCCATCTACATCATTATAGTTGACTCTACTTTGAATAGGCAGCTCTTTTTCCACTCGTGTTTGAGGACCTTCCTACCTAATGGGCTTATCTTCCAGCACTGTTTCAGACAAAGTTCTGCTGCTATTCATAAGTTTTTCACTGTCCAATTCTTTTTAGAAACAGATCATGGGGTCCTTCTTCCTAGCCTGTCTATGTAGGGAAGCTCTGCTGAAACCTCTCCACAATGAGAGACTCTGCTGGTATCTGAAACTCCAGTGGCATAATTTCCAGCATCATACCAACATGCAAGCCACCCCAGTACAACAAATCAATAGTATACTTTATTACTGTCATTATAGGATCTTAAATGTTATATTATTTACTGTATGTGTCCTTTTTTCTTGCATACCTGTGTCTTCCTTTGCCTTGGTCACATTGTGCTGACTTCACTCATATTGTGTATTGCCTTTCCCTTCACCAGAATTTTTAGTGATTAGCACTCCCCTTTCCCTTCCTTGGTAACCATCAAAAAATGTTTCTGTATATAAACCTGTTGGCTACAGCACTTGACTGTTAACCAGAAGGCTGGCGGTTCAAATCCACCAGCCACTCCTCGAAAGGAAGATGGGGCAATCTACTTCCGTAATGATACTGCCTCGGAAACCCAAGGAGGGGCCGCTATGAGTCAGGTCTGACTCGACGGCAAACAACAACAACAACAACAACACAACACATAAACCTATTACTGACTTTGTATAATAATGGTATCATACAATATTAGTCCCTTTGTGATTGACTTATTTATTCAGTATGCTGTCCTCCAGATTAATCCATGTTGTGAGATCTTTCATAGATCATCATTATTGTTTATCACTGTGTAGCATTCCATTGTATGCATGTACAATTTGTTTGTGCATTCATCTGTTGATGGACACTGAGGTTGTTTCCCATATTTTTCCTATTGTGAATGAACATAGGTGTGTATATATTTATCCTGTCACCATTCTTATTTCTCTAGGCTATATACCTAAGAGTAGAATTTCTGGATTATATAGTATTTCTATTTCTAGCTTTTTAAGGAAGCACCATACCATTTTTCTTAATAGTTATATCACTGTATAGTCCCATCAACAGTGTATAAGAGTTCCAATCTCCTTACAACCTCACCAGCATTTGTTGTTTCCAGTTTTTTTGATCAGTGCCATTATTGATAGGGTGGGATGGTATCTCATTGTAGTTTTGATTTTAATCTTTCCTCGGAAACCCAAGGAGGGGTCACTATGAGTCGGGTTCGACTTGATGGCACATAACAACAACAATGGCTAATGATCATGCACAACTCTTCATGTAAATGTCATCTTTGGTAAAGTGTCTGTTCACGTCCTTTGCCCATTTTTTAATTAGACTGTCTTTTTGTTGTTGAGGTTCCAGAAGAGATTGTTAATAAGTACACACACATACAAGCAGCTGTCCCGCCATATCTTAGTAATTCTTAAGATGAAGCAAATTTGGGAAGAAACAGGTCTGATAGATTGTTTGGCAAACACTAAATGCTCAATAAATATGTGCTAATGTATGAATGAATAAGTGAAAAGAGGACCAAGCACAGGCCTTTCAGGTGTGGTGTAGTAGAAAGAACAAGGCCTTTGAAGCCAGAGCAGGATTCAAATTCCAATTTCATTATTCTCTTTCTGTTTCATATGTCCAAAAGTTTATGTCTGTTGTCCTTAGTTAAGGCTATGCACCTGCTTGACTACAGAGGGGAATATAGTAGTAGCACACAGCTACCATTATTATGAGCCACTACACATACATAAAAGGAATAAAGCAAAGAAAGATTTTAAAAAAAGAAAGAAAGAAAAAGAAGAGATGACCTCCTATCACTGTACACTAGCAAGAAATTATTCTAAATTTAGAATCCCCACCCTTCTTTTCCATATCACTGTTGCAAAGGAGAGTGACCTAGACACTAAGAACTGCATCTCCCATTAAGTATTTCCTTAGTGGTCATAACCCTGATTTTAACTTGACTTGATTACTTTCTAGTCTAATATGCAAGCTCACATGTACTCTGAGGACATACCTCGTGGGTTTGTTTTTTGTCTACTTGAGCAAAAAGATCTTCACAGAATCTTGGAATTATTCCTGGTTCTTCATTAAATCCCATCATTCTGGAAAATATATTATGAACAAGGATAAAATAAAACTAGTTAGTTGCATGTTTTGTTTTGTTTTTTTCCCAAAATCTCTTTTGGGGCAATGAGTAGGAAAGCAAGCTAATTAAATCTCATCGTTAATAGCTAAGAATCTGGGCTCTGGAGCCAAATCTGCCTCAATTCAAATCTTCATTTTACTACTGATCAATTCTGTGACCTTGGACAAGATACTTAACCTCATTAAGCCTCAATTTCCTCTTCTGTAAAATCGAAATTATAGAAGTATCTAATTTAGAGTCTGCTGTGATATTACTAGTAAAGCTGATAGCACAGTGACTAGTATATAGGAAGAATTCAATAAATATTTGCTATCATTAAAAGAATTTCATTCTAGGACAGATATTATCATAATAACTAAACCAAACCAAACTCACTGCCATTGAGTTGGATCAGACTCATACAGACCCTTCCTTGGGTTTTCAAGGCGGTATCACTATGGAAGTAGATTGCCCAATCTTCCTTCTGAGGAGTGGCTAGTGGGTCTGAACCATCAGCCTTCTGGTTAGTAGTCAAATGCTTTAGGCACTATGCCACCAGAGCTCCGAAATACCAAATGTGATGCATTGGCCAGGAATTGAACCCGGGTCTCCCACATGGGAGGCGAGAATTCTACCATTGAACCACCAATGCCTTCTCATATTATCTCATATATTATCATGTTGTTGTTATGTGCCATCGAGTCAGCCCTGACTCATAGCAACCCCTCCTTGGGTTGCCAAGGCAGTATCACTACGGAAGTAGATTGCCCAGTCTTCCTTCCGAGGAGTGGCTGGTGGGTTTGAACCGCCAGCCTTCTGGTTAGCAGTCAAGTGCCTTAGGCACTATGCTACCAGAGCTCCTTAACTACCATTTACTAGGTGCCTTAGTTTTAATTTTCACAGGTAGCAACCTCTCTGGGCTCCTGTTTATACAAAAGATTTAACTTACGAAATGGGGCCAATGATACTTACAAAGCAAACTATATCTACCGTATAATCTGAATGCCAAAGGTTACGTAACTTGCCCAAGTTTGCAGAGCTAATAGGCAAAATAGCTAATATTTGAACCCAGATTTATGTGGTTTCAAAACTTTCTAGCACATCATGGTGCTTTTCCTAACAGAAGATTTAATAACTTCAGGATAATTATATTTGCAATAAAACTTACGTATATGATTTTCCAGAGCCAGTCTGACCATAAGCAAAGAGACAGGTATTGTAGCCCTCAAAGGCTCTTTCTAGGAGTGGTACTGCTAGTGTCTTATAAACAGTTGTTTGGCCAGCATAATTAGGATGACGTTCATCAAAAGACCAGAATGAAACATCATAAATAAAACTATAAACTTGTTTCATGTCAGGATGTTGCACGGTTATTTCCTCTCCATTCATGAAGACAACCTGGGATGCTTTTTCCATCTTTTCTCTTTAAAAAGAAACACAAAGAAAAAAATAACATTACTGTAATTATTTTGGGTGTTATTGCCAAAGGATATAATAAGAACCTCAATACTAGTTAATACAACATTTCTCAAAGGCAAGATTATTCTATAATTTTATGTTGAAATGTAGACCAAAAAACATAATTATAGTGGGTTCCCAAAATATATCTCTAGTAGTTCCAATGCCACCACTCAAAGAGAAAATAGGGTTCCAGATTTCTTTTACAGGAAATCTACCCACTTTCACAATACTTTTCCTTTTTCTTTTTCTCTTGAGATATCCTTTTTCCTATCCCATCTACTACAATCTACCTACACTCTTACATAAATCTGAAAATCTATCTTTAATATATATATTTTTTAGTTTTGGGGCATAAATCTATCTACAAGTGGCATAAATTATAAATGTAATTTCAACAAACTCCATTTAACATAAATTTGAATCCTAAGTCCCTCCTGGCTACTAGCTGTTGTCACTGTTACTCTAAAGTTATTCCCTCCTCTATGGATTTTCTCCCTTACAGTCATGGATCTTCATGTCCATCCTTATTTTACCTCAGATTTTGGCTGAAATCTTTCACTTATGCTAGATCTGCAGAAAACACTATGAGTCTCTGGCACCAAATATCCCTTTTCCTCCTGACTCATTTTAGATCAGAATTCATCCCAGATACTACCTGCCTAATCAATTTGACAAGTGCCCTTCCATCCCAGCCCTGCTGCCAGGGCTTGTCTGATGAGTTTGCGATCAGGTTTCTGGCCCTTCACTGTAGTCACCCATCTTGTATTTTGTCCCTACAGGTACTGTTGTTTCTATTGCCTCTCTTCTTATTGCAGGAGCTCTGGTGGCATAGTGCCTAAGGCACTTGACTGCTAACCAGAAGGCTAACCTCGGAAGGAAGGTTGGGCAATTTACTTCCGTAGTGATACCACCTCGGAAACCCAAGGAGGGGTCGCTTTGAGTTGGGTCTGACTTGACGGCACATAACAACAACAACAACAGCTCTTTCTATTGTGGTTCTTGAGGCTTTTCTGGAGAATCAAATCAACTCACACTGAGCTCTCTCCCCTTTATCATTAGCCCCACATTTTCACTAGTAGCCCTCATAGCATTGTTATAAGTTGCCTTGAACTACTGATTGACCCTTTATGCTCAAAATTAGAATTTCCTTCCCACTGCAGTGGTCACTGTATCTTTTCCTAACTTGCTTAGATCCACTTCATCAAGTTTAAAACTACTGACCTTGTGAAGCTCTTTACCGTTTGCTCTTAACATATTCTAAATAATTGAACACCACATTCACATTATGTCATGTCCATCTATTGTAGCCCTACTCATAAGCGGTCACACTCCTACCCACAATCAATTTTTGGAGACAGATTTTTGCCATCAGAATCAAACCTAATAAATAACTACATTTATTATCACTTATTATCATTAATCATCAATCTCAGATGATGATGATGATGATGATGATCACCACTTTGGAAAGGATTCTGGAACAATCTCTGAGAAATTTAAAAATTCACAAGGTCAGTAGTTTTAAACTTGATGATGTGTATCTAAGCAAGTAAGGAAAAGATACAGTGACCACTGCAGTGGGAAGGAACTTCTAATTTTGACCATAAAGGGTCAAAATTATCAGATTTGAAAGCAGATTGCGCTAGACGTAAGTGACTCATTCAGACATTTGAAAAGCAATATATCTAGAAAAATAGGTATTTAGAAAATACTTTAAGTTTTTAATTTTACAGACAATTATTGAAAATAATCAACATACTAAAAGTTCTCTCTATATAAAAATACTGCCAACAAGTTGGAAAATGCATGAATACAATGACTTTCCGGAGGCAAGACATATTACATATCACTGGCTTTGTCTTAGATTTTAAAAGGCGTACATACCTCTTGCTGAAAGGCCTTATGCGTACTGCCACCGTCACTTGACTATTCTCTACTTTTAAGGCATGTGTTTCTGTATAGGTGTTCTGAGCTGTGGTTTCTTCAGGAGAAAGTATGTTTTCTTGTGACCTTTCATTTTTATGTACTAGTAGAGAACTTTTTGGCCTTTGTTTAACCTGAAGGCTGGGCAGCCTATTTTTCAGTATTGACACAGCTGGGCTCTTAGGTGGAGGCACACTATACTTTGGTGTCAATTTGTGTTCTGTTATACATTTTGTGGGAGTTCTTCCTTTTTCTAAGGTTCCCAATTTATTAACTGAATTTTTCGCAATGTCCTTCCCAATACTTCTATGACACAGCTTTTCTGTTCCAGATACTTTGATATCCAACTTGCTCTGCATAGGTTTTGTTGTCAAGTGTCCTGATCTAACAACTTCAGTAGGACTCCCAGAACCAATGGGTGTTCTATTACTTAAGTACTTAAGTGTAACATTCTCATTTCCATCATTAGGGACAGAAAATGTTTCTCTGTATTTTTTATCAGTCATTGTTTCAATGTTTTTTGAGTCTTCAGCTAAAGTTACAGAAGATGCAACAAAAGCATTCTTATCAGTATTTACAATCTTTACATTGCTACTAGTTTCCTGTGAAGCTCCATTATTTTCTGCTTCACCTCCCATTTTCTGCATGGTTTTCCATTTTTCCCCAGAATCTGCTTTATCACGACGTTGTAACGTAAGACGTTTTTCAGATGTTTTTTCAGTAGTGTCTCCCAACTCACCACCAAGCAAAGATAATTCTTTGTTCCTTGTAACTCTTCTCTGAAGTGTTAATCTACCTACAGGTTTAGGGGTTAGAGGTAGATCTCCTGCTTTTTTATAGGCAGAAATAACATAAGTGCTATTTATGTCTTTAATTTTACTTGCAGATCTCAATAATGGATCATCATTTTCACATTCTGACATATTTGATTTCAAATGCAGCTTAAACTGGCTACTGTGGGAGAGGACATTCAATGATGAATTCTTTTGGGAAGAACGAATATCAAGGATATCACTGTCATTTTGATTATGAGTGGTACATACAGACATTTTGGCAGCCAGTTGTTTTAAAAAACAATGTTGCTGAAGAACCAGATTGCCTTTGGATGGTTATTTGACTTCCAAACACTTCTTACGTATCAGTTTCTAAAAATAGCTGCTAACCTACAAAAAAAAATTTTTAAATTAAGATTGCACAGACTATAAACAAGCTTTAAAAATACAGATAGAACTTCTCTTTTTTAAAGTAACCTTCTCAGAGAAATACATTGAAATAAAACAGTGATGATGACACTTCTCAATCCTATTTGACCCGCTATACATCCGCAGTCCAAGGTACTGTCACCTTCTGATAACTCTACCTCATTATAGACACCAAACTCTGCCCCCTCCCTTTTTTCAGTCTTTTCTGTCTCTTTAGAGGACTCCTTTCTTCAATCCACCCATGTAATATGAATCTGGCCCCCCGATTATGTGCAGCTCATGACACAGTTTCTGACAGTGGAACCACCTCTTCTTCAGAGCTTCAACTGACATCTTTTGTCTCCAAAACTCAACCTCCAGCTCAGAAATCACTTCCAAGCAACTTCAGACAAATCTCTTCTCTCAAAGAGCTTACAATAATTATTCAACAAATAAATATACTGAGTCCTTATTATGTTCCTGGATGGTGCAAATGGGTAACATACTCAGTTGCTATAGTACCTGACGCACTTGACTGCTAACCAGAAGGCTGGTGGTTCAAACCCATCAGACATTTCTCAGAAGGAAGATGGGGCAATCTACTTCCATAGTGATACTGCCTCGGAAACCCAAGAAGGGTTGCTATGAGTCAGGTCCAACTCAACAGCACATAACAACAACAACCGAAAGGTTGGAGGTTCAAGTCCACCCAGAGACAGCTCAGAAGAAAGTCCTGGTAATACACTTCCAAAAAACACTACCAAGCACAGTTCTACTCTGACACACTTGAGGTCTCTATGTATCAGAATCAATACAGTGGTAACTGGTTTCTCATTACCAGGCCCTCTGATAGCCAGATTTCCAAGATAAGACTCCTGTTCTCACTTCCTTAGTCAAGAAGAAAAACACAGATTAAACCTTTTATCAAGCCACATGTGCGAAGTGATTTATGAGAAGCAAAAAATGCTACGGCAGCAAAGATTGGGTTTTTTTTAAGTACAAATATCCCCCACTTTTTGAAAATTCACTTTACGCCACTTCACTTTTACAAAAGATCTACTTTAGTACCCGTTTTCGCTAGTCAAAAGAAATCCAAAGAGGATTTTTGCTTTTACGGAAAAAAGGTGAAAAACAAAACTAGCATGTGCACTGATTTTGCAGCGAACTGTTAAGAGGCAATGCCAAGCTTCTTCTCCAGAACTACTATATTATAGGCTATGCATTCATCACATCATTCCTGCTTTTATTATATGATACTGTTATTTTAGATTTTATGTATCACCTGGTATGATTTGGAGTTGTATTTTGGGTTTTTCAATTGTCAAAAATTTTTCCCATATAAATTAATGGTAATTGCTTCTTCACTTTACAGCCTTTTCAGTTTACCTAAGGTTTCACAGGAACGCTATTTTCAGGTAAGAAGGGAAACCTGTATTCCCAGCTTTGAATGTGGGAAGATATTCTAAAGGAAACGCTATCACCTAAGTTAGAGTCTGGAAGAAAGAATATTTATAAAAATGTGTGGGATGTACGTATATACATTGAATACAGGAATGTTTCATGAGGGAGATTAAATTGAGAGGTGTCACAAGGCAGATTATTCCCAAATGAGTACCACAGATAGTAAGTAAAGTACATTATTGTTTATGTTAGGAGAAATATGCAAGATTAGATAAGCAGATAGTCCACTTTCTAGCAGTTAGACATCAAATTAGATGTGTTTGCAAATATATGTCAATAACATCTATCAGACATTAAAATTTAGAAGAGAACAGCAGTGACAACTAAAATTCCTGGCTTCTAGTCAACTCTGCATCAAGCTCAGGTTTGTTGGCTTAAGTCTTTAAATTTGCATGCCGCCTTCTAACTTGTAAAATGATACTTGCTCAAACTACGTCATAGATAATTGCTATCCAGGAACACACTAGAAGAAGTTAATGTTTAAGTCTTTTCACGTTCTACATAAACGTCATCATTACAAAAAACTTCGTCAGGTTATAAGCATTCTGTCAACCTTTCAACTAAAAGTATAATAAAAGTACACACGTGATCTCTATGAGTCGGAATCAACTCCGCCGTACCTAACAACAGTAACAGCAGTAACATACTGTTATGAAATAATATCATGAAAAGTAAGAAAAAAATCCATAAATTCTATCGCAACTAAAAACTACTTACATAAATCAGTAAGGCTTTTGTTTATTTGGAGAGTTTCGCCAACAGATTTTAAAGAGGACTGAATTAATAAAAGAAAAATATGTCACAACAAAAACCAAAACATTCCTGTAATTCTGTTCTTCTTCAACTGGTCACTACGAGGGTTGTGACAGCGAATGTACCTCTTAATGGCAACCGACTAGGCGAGACTCAACAGGCGAAGACAGGGCGGAGGGACCCTGAAGTCCAGCTTCCCGGTCCCGGCAGAGCCCTTCCTCTCCGGAGGTCTTTTGGTCACTGACCAGTAATTCGGGGGTAAGTAGAGGGACTGGAGCTAAGACCACCTGTCCACAGCGCTGCTGTCGTTCCCAGGACAAGAGCCTGCACTGTTCCCCAGAACCCGCTCTTGGCTCCTCCGACCACCTCGCGGACTCCCCTGGAGGCGGCTCCCACATCACTCACCACCCGACCTCACTTCCTACTGAAGACACAATTTGAATGGCCGCCCCGTCTTCCAATTGGCTGCTGGAGGTTGCGTCAGGCGACGCGTCTTCCCTTCCCTCCGCCCCCCGGAAGAGCCAATGATTGAGTTTCAGATCGCTGGGAGTATTTTTTTATTTTTTTGATGCGCACAAACCCTAGATCTGACCAGCTGTCAGTTCCCTGGCAAAGGGTCGCTCCACTACTCCCGACACCGCTAACTCTTAGAGTTTGGGCCCCTATAATACTAGCCGGAAGAAGAGACGGGGTCTGGGCTGCTGCAGGCAACCCGCCAAAATGGTGTAGGGCAGTGATAGTGACACTCTTGTCGGTCTTTAATATAACAGAAAGCATAATCTATCCACATTACATTGAAGGCTTGACATTGTAAAAATGACTAATTGCTCCCATGATAAAGTAAATAGTAACACTCCTAGCATTTCGTATGCAGGCGTTGAGATAGGAATTGTACACAAAGTCTTAAATGGATTTTTTCATTTAAGCCTGACAAATCTTATGAGGTAAATATTAACAATATCCCCAGTTTACAGATAAGAACTTTAGATTTAGAATTAAGAAAATTGTGACAACTCCAATAGATAGCAAATAGAACACTAAAGCTGATACCATTAAAAGATTTAACTCAATTTCAATCAATATCCCAATAAGATTTTGAAACCTGACAAAAAACAAAACTACATTACAATAATGCAATAAATAAAGAGAGTAATAAGAAAGACTCTAGCCAAACAAATTATAAAGCAGCAATATTTAAAAAAAAAAAAAAAACCGGGACTAAAAGTGCAGATAATGGAGATACATTCAATAGTATAAAAAAAGAGAGAGAGAGAGAGAGATCAGACATGACCCCAACTACATAAAAAGGTTGGAAGGATGATAAAGGCCTATTCTAAAACTCACTCTAAATTTTAATTAAAGTTAAGCTTTTGGAAAACAATCAGAAAATGGAATATAATATTTATCAGATCTGGTGGCATAGTGCCTAAGACATATGACTGCTAATCAGAAGCCTGGAGGTTCAAACCCACCAGCTTGTCCTCAGAAGGAAGGTTAGACAATCTACTTCTGGAGATGTACCACCTAGGAAACCCAAGGAGGGGTCGCTATGAGTTGGATCCGTCTCGACTGCATTGAGTTTGGTTTTTTTGGGGGGAGGTTAATGAGGAAAATGATAATTATGTTTAGAAGCAAAAAACAAGACTGACAAAATTAAATACTGTGCATAAAAAAATTATGTATAATTTATGCTAATAAAAGAAAAATTAGAAAATAACCATTAAAAAAAATAACCATTAACTATGACAGGAGGTGAAAAGATTTCTTTCAACTTTATAAGGAGAATAAGTTTATAACTACAATAGGAAAAATGGAATAGAAAAGTAGAAAAAGGTATTTTAGATTTAAAAAAGAATTCACACACACAAGAAAAGAATTCATACAAAAATTGAATGCAAAACCCAAGTATTAAGTACAAGTAAAAAATTAAAGCCAGTTGCTTTCCGGTAGACCCTGACTCATGGCGACCCCACATGTGTCACAGCAGAACTGTGCTGCACAGGGTGTTGCCGGCTGATTTTTCCTAAGTATATCACTGGGCCTTTCTTCTGAAGTGCTTCTGAGTATATTCTAATTGCCAACCTTTCAGTTAGCAGCTGAGTGTGTTAACTGTTTGCATCACCCAAGGACTCATTATAATTATTAAGTATTCACTAAAGATAAAATTAAGAATTCAGTAGGCCCAGAGAATGCCTGGCCTATAACAGGATCATAATTTTTCCCATCAGACTGTTAACCCACGATAGAGCAGGACCTAGCCTGGCATGTAACTGTCCTAGGACCTTCACATAACACCAGCCATTCTTCTCTCTTATTCTTGCTCTATTGTTGTTGTTATTTGCTGTCGAGTAGCACCTGGGTCATAGTGACCCCTCCTTGGGTTTCTGAGGCAATATCACTACTGAAGTAGACTGCCCATCCTTCCTTCCGAGGAGTGCCTGGATGCTCCCAATTTAATTACAACCACAGGATTAATACTCCACAGAAGCAAGGGCCCTCCTGTGAGCCACCTCCAGGTTATGCCAGAGGCATCTTTTATTAATGACACTGAAGTGACACTTTTCTATTCAGTCCTGTCCACATCTTACTAGCAGAAGTGACAAGGTCTGAGTGCCTCAGGTTCCTCATCTGGAAATTGCAGGTGATAACGCCACCCACCC